AAGATTTAATTTTGCGTCGTGGTAATCGAGGGTTAAATATTATTCGCCATTGTGGGTATACAATCCTCCGTATTCTCGATGATCGGTTCACATGAGGAGACATAGGCGTCGCATTTCTCGTAACAAAACAAGAGAACATTTATTTGAGACAATTAATTGCGGCGGCGCCTATGATATTAGATCAATGTCGAAGGCTTGTCGTTGCGACGATACATTTGACCTGTATTCAACAAAATTAACGATTCAAACCGACTTGGATCGTGTTATCTATAATTGTTTTCTAAAGTACACGGAAGATCGGCATGAACGTTGATAATGTGTGAATTATTTCTGTTAGAATATTTAAAAACACCATTCGAGAACACTTATGTTTTTCTCGCACAAGTCGGTTTGAAGAGATAGTTGCAGCTTTTGAAATTGCTTTTGAAATATCGATAGAGCACTAGTAGCCCTGCGCTAATGGTTTGAGCACAGGTTCACGAGAAAGAAAGAAATCGTATTGAATCAGGTCGAATTGGAACGAAAATCGATTGACTGCGAAAAATCCAGGCTTATTTTATAGCATTCGGTACCTTTTTGTCAAACTTAAATGTCAATTAATTAGTCAATTAATATAATTATTGTTGATAACAATACCCTCTCGTATATCAATAAAAGAGAGTACAAAATAAAAGAGAGCTTGTAATTAAAAGTACATAAAGATAATGTCTGATTATTTTGACGTAAGATTAAAATTTTACAGATTCTCTTGTTCCGATTTTCATAAGCGTATCCACATTTGTGAGAAACGTATTTACATACATATACACACACACACACACACACACACACACATAAATTAATTACATATCAGTTGTGTAGAGATAAAAAATGGCGACAAGAAAATGAACGAGGAATAATTTCGCAAAAGTTATGTTGTTACGACAGGCCTTTGCACGCTCAAAACTCGGTGCCAGACTCGATTACGTTTTTGATAAATGTTAGTTCGGTAGACAACTGTCGCAACGGCGTGCACACACTTGGTCCATCGAAAATAACATCGGAGATCACGTTACGGACACTAATCATTACAAAATCCCCGTGTTTTTCGGCGCTGAGCCGCGGTCGAACGAATTTAATTTTCGCGTGTGTGCAGAAATTTTACAACATGTATTACAATATATATTCACAGAATTACTATTTGACAGTGATACATATTTACGATCGCAAAAAAGAATATTCGAGGAAATTTCAAACGGCTCGTCATTGGCTTCGCGTATTTGAATGCTTGAAAATAGAATTTCGCGCATTTAATATTCGTGAATACGATACACCTGGAATCGTCAAAGTTCACGTAAACTCGCTGAAATAATATCATTGTTACGCTCGATAATAATCGAGTTTCGGGGTAACTGTATGTTTTCTATTTTCAACACGCATCCATTTCACCATCTTTCTTCTCGCTCCTACACTCTCCCTTGTGAAAATTGGTTGCCCCGAGATTATTGTTAATATTGTTACACGCGAGCGTGGTTTATATATATATATATATATATATTTGCATCATTTTACGGATTAATTCGAATTACGTCTATTTCGAGCGCGACGATGACGTCGTTGCGACAACGTGTTTAACGTGTGCGTAACCGTGCGCTGACACTTATGTGTATAGAAAGCAAACGGCTTGATCTGTTGTATAAGTTTGTAGTTGACGTATACGTCATTGTATGTGCCGCATCCTCTCGTTTGTAAACGCAGGAAAATTTCCCACAGGATTCTGTTTTCGATGGAAAACGCGAGTTCGATCGAAGAGCGACGAGCCTCTCGTTGTGCTTTCCTCGTGTACACTATTTAACGCTCGTATACAATATTGCGTTTTCATTTTCGTTACGCGAGCAAAACTAGTCGAGTTCGATCGACGTCGACGTCGACGTCGAAATTGTCGGATATGTAATTTTCCAACTTCCAAAAAAAAAAAAAAATTACGCTAGAAAACAAAAAAAATCTCCCGCCAAAATTGTTTTTGTCGCAAAGGCAGTTTCAAAAATTGCGCTCTTCGCTCGAAGGCCAAAAACACGCCTAATACTTGACACGTTCGACTCTATCGATTTTGCGCGCGGCGGAAACGAGCATTTTGTCGACGATGTCGCGTCGATAATATATAAAAAATCGTTTTGTTGATCGCGCGCGTTCTTTTTGCCTTTTTTCGTTCGGATAACACACTCGCAATGAAAATAATTACGTGCGAAAAAATTTGCGAACAAACTCGACGATCTTTCTCTTTCTCTTTTTTCGACGCGGCGACGTTGGGAACGCATGGGTAAAATTTCATAACCCCCCCCGAGTGAAAATCTCAGTGGCATTTGCGAGATTTTTCGGATTACGCGAGGATTGAAAAATACGCCGCGCTCCTCCGCGTGTGTGCGTGACCGCCTAATATCAAATAAATTTCGATAAGACAACAGTAAAGTTATCTAATCTCGTTCGTAATCTCGCTTACTCATACAAGAAGCATCGTGTAATTGATCCGTGACGTGTAATCGCCGCAATATTCATAAATAGCCCGATAGAGACTCTATTTGTGAGATATATATCTCACTGATCAATCTAACGGAGCAACAAATCGCCATAATCTCAAATCTTGGAGATACTTCGTTTTTTTTTTTTTTTTTTTTTTCAGTAATCTTTGTTCCTCATCTTCTATTCCCTCTCTCGTGACGGTTTATCGATTCCGTCTCCCTCGCTATTTTCGAAAACAAAATGCTCGTCGCGCACGGTCAAAGATTCTCGCCGCAAGCGACAGCGAGAAATTGAAATTTCGTTTTCCGCCGTTTCGGACTGACAAATCGCGCGATCCGTTATCGTGACAGCGGCCTAAGAACCGCGCGGATCTGAGTCGTAAATCATTAGAGAGATCGGGAACCGTGTGGGACGACACACGACGACTTCGACGCGCGTGTTTCGCTCGACTCTCGACGCACACGGACGAAGAAAACGATATTTTCGGCGCGCGACGTCTTTTTCCTATACGTTCGATTTAACCGAGTTTTTTTTTTTGTTTTTTTTTTTTTTTGCCAGATACGGGGGCGCGTTGATGGACGCATCAGAATGGAATTTGTGAGCGATGGATATGAAATCGCCATTAGAGCTAACAGAATAACACATCGGACCTGCCGCGGGGAGATATTTTTTTTCTGTTTTTCTTTTTTTCTTTTTTTTTTTTCCTGTAACGAATGCCATCGATCGATCGCGCGTTCCGCGATTTTGTTTCTTGAAACGCAAACGAGACTAAATATTCGCTATTTTACCGAAAATTGTTTGTTTACCAACAAAAAAAGAAGTGGGTAATCCCCCCAAAAAAGTGCACCGCTGTGAATTTCTCGCTATAACGGAAGATTTTTAAACGCGGTCGCCACATATGAAAAACGTATTTTTCTGCTCAGAAAATCCTTGTTAAAGATACCGTGTACACAATCGATCAGGCGGCGAGCTCGGCCGCTGTGCGTGCAATTAACGAGCAAACAGATAAATCGATTGGCTCGCGGTGCAAAAGAGTCGCCGCGCGCTCCAATACCGTGAGCTTTTTAATGCGGATTAAAAATTCCACCGTAAATCCCCGGGTACCTATGAATGCCTCTATGTATAACGGTTCTGTCTGTTTGCGGGAAAACGAGTCTTTCCTGTACGCACAATCGGGGGGTTGTGTGAGGCGAGCGATTCAAACGGGTCGAACACAATGCGCAACGATTTGCGAGGCAATAAACTTTGAATCGTTTAATTCGTTTAAATTAACGATTGCGTGTTTCGGTAATTTAAATCGCGATAGAGAATCGAAGTATAAAATTGGTTTTTGCGTTGCGATTCTTACGCACCGCGACGGCGCATCACCGAGCCTGACGGATTTACTTTAGCCGGAGCGATTTGCAAAGGGAAAGTGGTAAACGATAAGAGTTTGTAGTGACCGACGGTGCGTACGTTTTCTCGCGCTTATTCCAGCATGTGTTGCATGTCTCTTTTTCTCTCGCATCTCGAGTTCACACGCGCAGCATATAATAATCTCGGATATGCGCTTGAGATTTTACAGACGCACAGATGTACATACACACGCACATGTACATACACACACACACACACACACGTTGTAGTAGGTTTTTTGCGAGATATTTACATACACGCTGTATATATTTATTGCGCACGTTTTTTTATGCAGCTTGATAGTGTACACGCGCGCGCGCGCGCACGCACGCACTCGCAATTTCTACGTACTCTTTGCGCAATTAGTTTTTTCGTTTGTACTTTCGACTCTTCTCTGATTCAATAAATGAAGTATATATTTGTGTGTTTTTATCGCGAAGAGTGCGTGCGTTTTATTTGCGAGCGCTACGACGAAATTTCTGATTATTACGCAGTTGCTGCTTTTTTATGATACGCCCGTGACAGATCTTCTTGCTTGTAGTTTGGCGTGATTTGTCTTGCCCGTGACCCGATGAAAATAACAAGTGATTATTTATAATAACGTAATATACGCTCGGTAAGCTCTGTGATGATATAACGTAGTGGTTTATAATGTACATCTCACCCCCCCAAAACTGCGAGAAAAAAATCATCGCAAGCGATTTGCAATGCGCAGCGAAAGACGTGTGAGGCAAATCGATGATGGCGACATAGCGGAAGCCATTAAGTCCGTTGATTAAAATGTATTGTGAATTAATCGATCAGCTTTTTTTTCGATGTTGTTGCGACATTTATTGATTGGGCTCTTGATGTGATATTATTTCGCGCGTGATTTACACATCAGCATCATAACAATATTGTCACAATGTATTGAATTTAATATTAAATTTTATATTTAAAAATTATCTCCCTTTCTCTCTCAAACATTGTGTTTTGTTTTTACACAAAATCATGTATCGGAATTGTTTTCGCTATGTTGATCGTCATTCGATGATGTAGATACGCTACTATCGCGTTGTTACGTACTATCATCCGAATGCTACATAATGTGTCTCTCGTATTTATAGGTGCAGCAGCTAATCTACGTAAGGAAGTCATCAGAAACAAGATCAGAGCCATCGGCAAAATGGCGCGTGTGTTCTCCGTCCTGAGGTCAGCGAATTACAAAATTATACTTCTTCACACGCACAACATACTTTTTAAATAAAAAGAAAAACATGTATTTTACAGATTTAAAATACATAAAATAGATAAAATGTTATTTAAAATCTTATTTAAAACTATAAATCTTAATTATTTTGATTTCTCGGTTTCTTTTGCGAGTAAAAAAATGTATTATTATAAAATCACAAGTGTGTAGCGCACGTCCGACGGTGTCATTTTTTTTTTTTTGTCTTCCAGAGAGGAGAGCGAGAGCGTGCTGCAGTTGAAAGGCTTGACGCCGACTGGAGCTTTACCGCTTGGTGCATTATCTGGTGGAAAGACCTCACTGAAAAACGGTAAGAGTTTCATGAGGTATTAGCTCTGATAAAAATATGAGAGATATATATATATATGTGTATTATTATATTTTTAACATACCGCACTCTTTCGAACACATATATCGTCATCAAACAATTGCAAAGTTAGAATAGGATATGTTTAGATTTGTATAGACGCAATATTGTCGCACAATAGTGATTTAATGTATCCAGCACAAGACTTTTTTTTTATCAATCTCGCGTACTAACGTGTTTTTTCTCTCAAGCTCTCCAAGGCTTCTCACCGAATCACAAAATTACCTCATTCGCCGAGGCCAAGGGTTTGGACGCCATAAACGAAAGAATGCCACCGAGGAAGGACGCTCCGCCTACACCGGTGAACGAGGAGAAGCCCGTGACAAAGCCGTCGCCTTCTGCGGGAGACAAGCGGGACCATAACATGCCGCAACCGCAATCGTGAGCCGCACACTCGTCCGATCAAGGTATGCGCGCCCAAGCTATATTCGCAGATTCTAAACGTCGAGAGAGAGACAGAGGATAACTTACGTTTTCCACCCGGTAAATTTTACAGAGCTTTTAGATTTTTCAAATCTCGCCGTTGGCTATCTCTTGTAATAATAATTTTAATTCCATAAGTCAATTTTTTGGTGAAAACTGACAGTGCGAGAAACCATGTTGTGAGAATTATTTTTAACGATATAAATTTTTTTAGCCAAAGTTTAACTCTACACAACACTTATAGAAAAAATATTTTAAGCACAGTAATCTTTTTTTAGCTGTATCAATAAATCTTTGTTTCTACAATTAAAGTACAATACAATAAGGGGAGCTCGAATTTATATAACAAAATGAAAAAAATCGAAATTTTTTAAACATTCTTTTTTTCACATACAAAGATTCTTTTTTTCATTTTGTTATATAAATTTCCCGGATCTCTTATCGTATATGTACTTTAATTGTAGAAAAGGATTTGTCAATCCATACACAGCCAAAAAAACAGATTAGTGCGCACAACAAATTCAGTTTTATCGATAAAACACAAATTCACTTTAAGATCCCCTTAAAAACATACAAAAATGTTTTTAGAAAACTTGAATCATATCGCAGAATAAATTTCTTTTTCAGATGGCATGGACGGGTCTTAAAATCCCGCCACTACCACCGAACATTTGCAAAAATTCGTCTTTTCTCCCCCCCCTTCCCCTACTCCCCGGCTGTTACAAATACGCTGTTCACCGAAGAGTCAGAAGAGGAGTTACCGCCATTACAAAAGGATGATCAAAATGAACGGACGGACGCGAAATGGAAAGCAATTTCTCATTGATGCAATTTTCAACGGTCATCATCGTCCGCTTGTGCACAGCTCAAGAAATTAGTAACCAGCCGAAATTAAATGTGACCGCACGATCATCGATGAAACGTCCGGGAGGGCGTGTCCATCGGGACTCCTTCTTCGAAGATCTGCCTCCGGTTTTTGTTTGTTGCGAACAGAGCGCGACCATGTGTTAGCCTCTCTTCTGCGATAAACCGCGCGCGTGACGTTCTCCGATCTCTCTTCTAAAAAAACACATACACACACACACACACACACATTCGTGAAATATATAAAACACATATAATCTCTCTCTTTCTCTTCTCCTCTTACTGATTCTGTCTCTCATAATTTCTTGTTCCTCTTGCCTCCTTTCTTGGGCATCATTTTTCTCGTCTTTTTTTCTCGACGCGGGAGAAAACGACAGAAAGAGAAAAAAAAGAGAAAGAGAGAAAAAGAGAGAAAGAGAGAGGGACGAAATGAGAACGATACGTGCGTGGTTGCGAGTCGTTTGTCTAACGAGAGGAATCGCATAGTGACAGTGTGAAAGGAAGAATGAAAGAAAGAGAGAAAGAGAAAGAGAGAGAGAGAGAGAGAAAGAGAGAGAGAGAGAAAGAGAGAAAGAGAGAGAGAGAAAGAGAGAAAGAGAGAACGGACGAACGGTCTCCGCCAAAGAAACAAAAAGGCAGCTGGCCTGTCGTCAACGGCGGAGCTTCCGGTTTTAGGATTTTACTAGGTTCTTAAGATATGTCCGCCCTAGATGACGCGTATAAGGGCATCTCCCGGCACCACGGGGTGGAAATTAATTATACATGTGTGCGTGTATACGTTAAATAAATTCTCTGATTTTTTTTATATATAACTTGCGCGCGCGACTTAGCCCTTAAGCTTAGCTTGACTTAAATTCCTTTCCCTCTCTCTTAAGTCGTGAGTTATATACATGTAACGCCGGAGACTTTATTTGACATATATACATAAAACGCATTATAAATAATATATATATATATATATATTATTAATAATTATTAATTATTATCATCAGTAATTATTCATTATGTAATCTGAATACCATGTTTCGCTGCCGCGCGTGCACACACACGTCCGTTAACGGTCGCGCGAAATAATTAACACGCGAAAGAAATGCAACGAACGAGCGCATGCATCGTTTTCTAATAAGCACATTCATTATTAACGACTATCTATCTCTCGGCCGTTCTGCCTCGAGGATTCATTCGAGCGTTCTTCTTCTATTCGTGCAATATCGCAAAAAAATTATCTCGTTTTCGTTGCATGTCGATCTTACGAAATTGCGCATGGTACATGATGATTTCACCGAAAGGGAACATGCAAGACGTTCGTTATCTGTATAAGTTATAAAAATGAATCTCGCTGCACATTAAATCGCCATTAGAATATCTCGTTTTTTTCTCTTTTTTTTTTTTTTTTCGGTTTAAACCGAAGCATCAGTTATTATGATATCACGGCAAGAATCTCGCTTGTATCGTACACGGTATAACATCAGGCTTGAATTATGATCCCCTTAGAATAATACGTCGTCTCTGTGAACTTTCATTTCGTTTAACATCACACACTTTCGTTTCGTTTGTGTTATATTTGAATCGCGTAGAGATGAGAATTTAGGATTTATATATACATATGTATGTCTGCGTGTATGTGTATACATATATCGAAAACGAGATACTTTTGATTCCTCAGAGAGACTCGATCGCATACGAACGAAGGAATTTCATAACGCATATATATACATATATATCAGTGAGAGAGTTAAATGATATGTACGCTCTCTCTCGTGCTTAAGACATTTGACGCATATCTCTTATCCTAAATAGGTAGCACAAGTTTGCTAGAATGAGACGTGCAAATTGAAACGATTACGCGGGCAAGCCCATAGGATATAAATCGTTAATACGCTGAACTCGGCCAGCAGGCTCGAAATTAAAATCCGATAGTAGGTCATAATGGTGCTGAAGAAAATGCGCAAAGTAAGTGGTACAAGTTAGAGAAAAGGGGAGAGCGTTTTTGAAGAAGCGACGTCTTGCGTCACAGACCGCAGACAGGGGGGAGCGCCGTTAATCTATTATTTTTAAACTATTATTAATCAATTATTATATGCTCCTATTATACGGACAGTCGCACTGTGGACAGTATCACGCAGTCGCACTTCGCTTGTACCAGGCGCCGGAAATGGACCTCCCGATAAGTCAGCTCGCGATAGCAAAACAGAACGGCCGAGCGTGAGATAATAATCAGAAATCGCGTATCGCGAGAACACAACGACGTTGCCGGATATTTCGTGAATATTGCGAGTCTTTGCGAGTTATTTATTTCGAAGAAAAGATTTTACGTGAAGCACGGGATTTAACCGTTTCGTGTAGATGCGCGATCGTCGAGACGCTTCCCGCTTTCAGTCATCCGCGCTGTCATGCTCCTCCATACTGTTCTCGCACGTGACGTCCCGAGGATAATCAGAACCGAGAGTGGCTATACTCTCTCGTCTCTCGTGTAATATTTATATAGTAATAATCGCCCGCGATCGAGTCACGGGATTTTGTCGTCGTTTTCGCTGTTTTTTCTACCTCTTCTCTAGAGATCGAGACGTTGTGTAATTACAAGCGAGTTTTGTTGCGAGCTAAGTTACTAACGCAACAAGCAGCGCGGAAGATTGCAAGCCTAGTCATATCCGGTATGAAAAAAAAAAAAAAAAAAAATAATAATAATAAAAACAGAAAAGAAAAGGAAAAGCGTAGACGTGTATTTTCGGAAAGCCGAGCGGCGGCATCGTCAGAATTACAGTCATCTGAAACATAATAAAAAATAAAGAATATTATAATGAATGAAATAAGAGATATACATACATCTCTTCTCTTCTTACTATGATATATAAAATATATATACGCACATATATATACATATACATATGTATATACATATGTATATATATGTATATATATATATATACATATTGAATAATAATTCTATCTCTCTTTGCTACCAAGTTGTACTTATTCTTAATTAATTTACTTGTACAAAAGAATGTGTTAAATAATAATGAAATATATATATAATATAAACACAATTATAAATATAATACATAATATAATTATAAATATAAATATATATATAAAAATATATACATATATATATACATAAAAAAGGAACACTACAACGTGTACAGAATGTCCCAGAGTTTATCGTCATTCCTTTCATCTGTGGTTTTCGGCAATTTAAAAAAATTTTTACGATTATCACATCGCAGTTCTCTGTAATTTGTAGTTTCGAAGAGTTAAGTGAAATATATGTAAAATAAAATAAAAAGTGGTTCTCATCCTCACTCGTTTATAATTTCTTAGAGAAAAGAGTTATTGTCGTATTCAAATTTTTTTACTTCCCACACATCGAAGAGTCGATCAAAAAAAAAAAATTCTAGGATAAGAAAAACTTTCGATATAATTCCGGGATATTCTGCATACACACACGTGTATACATTATATAGCGTTGGTTATATCCAATATTACTACAATCATAATTACGATAATTATTGCTCCTTTAATTATGATCTTATCATTGCCATTATCATTATCGTCGCCGCTACAATCATCGCTATTATTGTTGCCATCATGAAAAACACAAAGCGCATACGTTCGGCGCTAGTAAATTTTCAAAACAAAACTGACACGTGGGTCTAATTAAATATATATATACGTGTATATGTTATTTACATATACGTTATAAGTGCGATCGTCAATTTGCGCTACGATACGACGAGGGTGACACGATAATGATGATTCAGAACGCGATTGAAGAGTCGCTCTCTTTGTCTACTCTTGGTTTTATAAAAGCAATCACTTTTATACGAATATGCTAACGTAAAGAACACGAAGATATTAGGTCGTTAACTAAGTTCTGCGGATTTTTTTAGTTTATAAATTATAAAAATTACTATTAAAATATTTGTAAAATAATATAATTATAATTTTTGTTGAATAATAATGTAATAACGGCCGCCATCTCTTTGCTCCTTTCTCCGGCAAAAGTTAAATTTCACAACGAAAAGCTTATGGTTCTTTGGAGGCAAAATAGTTATCGACCTAATTTCTCACTTTGTCAAAATTTTTTGAAGTGCTGTTCTTTCAGACTATTCCATCGAACGGAAGAGATAATAGTGCGAAAGTGCAGTGTCTGGAAAATTGTCTGGAAAGCAGGACGAGGGAGAACTTCGCATTTTTTCACTTAACACTAGTTTCGGTAGTGGTTTGACTTGGTCGTTACTAAAGTTCTGCAGATTGTTTGTAGATGGCGATAGGATACACTAAATTTTTATTTTTCGGCGCGATTTTGTTTTATTTCTCAAAAGTTTTGACTATTCTATTATAATAAAAAAAATAGTTCAAAATATTTCTGTAGTCAAAACCATTTGTTTATTTTGATCCAAAATGACATCTGAAAAAAAAACATTCATCATATTGTATTTTGCTGTTCTTTTTCAGATCATTTCGAGTCAAAATATAAACAAATATTTTTGATTACAGAATTGAACACCGAGTTCAATGAAAAAAGAGAATCGACCGAATTTTCTTCCTCCAACAGGGGAAGAAAAGCTAGCAAAGTGGGAATAGCATTGCACGCGGGATTGGCGAAATTACTGGCAGCTAATTACTGTGGAGATATTTTAGGTAGAGAAGATATGCGCGAAAAACGGACGGAGTTTTCGTTCGTTTCGAATTTCTTCTCTCAACAAACTCATTGTAGTCCGAATGTCTTATTATAGAATGGCTAACTTTTGAGAAATAAAACAAATTCGTTGGAAAATGTAAACAGAGTATCATTCCACCGTCATCTACGAACGATCGCGGAACTTAGTAACGACTTAACTCTTAACACGAAGAATGGATTTAAAGAAAACAAAAAAAACCAAAGAAGACTTCCCTCTTGCACATATACGAATTTTTCTCGGACCATCCATTTTTCGGATAACAGTCTTGACTTGTGCCTTGTTTAGATATTTCCAATCGTTTTTTGCAGACTAACTCGCGCCTCGATTCGCACTCTCTCGAATGAATGCATCTGAGATTGTTCTTTTATGAAGGGAACTACCACAAATAATATGAACAATATAAAATCCAATTCGATTATATATATACTCTCGCTATCGTTCTTTCTATCAAAAAAAAAAAAAAAAAAAAAACGGTCTTCCTCAGTAACTTTTATAGTGAAAAATATTGATTTTTTTTTTTTTGTAGTGTATGTTCATAATAAAAGCGTTATGCTTAATTTCGAATTGTTTTGTGAGTGTGCGATATCTCGCATCTCGGTCTGAGAAATTCTGCATAAAATAGGTCAACTTTTCGTCAACGCGTACGGACATCCCCGTTTGTTCTTTGTTCGAGAAATACGGCGTCGTTACCGAAACAAATACGCGTGTTTATATATCGTCAAGAAAGATATTAGCAATAAATGCGATAGTGTTTACAAGTTTTTCATGCTCTTTATGTATTATATAATACATAAAGTAGGAATTTTGAGATCCAGTGCAACAATCTCGTACATATTTTTTTTCTTTTTGTTTTTTTTAACGAACGATCAATCGAATTGAAGTGCTACGTGTAATTTTCACGGTTGTGCGTTATAGTTAACATGTAAATTTGTTGGCGTGTAGTTTTGTTTATTTATCTATTCGTGTCGTATTTATTATTGATCGGACGATAAGCAGAAATCTTATCGGATACGGAAGATAATTTCGTGTAACACTTTTTCTTTTATCGGAAGAATTTACGATAAATGTAATCAAAGAATTACGATAAATGTAATCGAAAGATTACGATAATTTTCTTGTAACGTAAGAAATATACATACGAATAGCAAGATGATTCGCAGACTTGCAATTAGACAAATTACATTTTTGTGTCACCCTGATATATCATGCGCTTTCACGACGTTCTCTTTATCGCTGTTGTTGAGATCTACGAGCGCTTCTTTGCATAGTTTTTTCAGAGAATCGTTTTTCTTTTCTCTTTCCTTTCACATCATCAGCGATAATTCTGAAAAGAAAAAATGAAGATTTTTCGGAAAGACTCACATCTGCTTGTTGAGTCGCCATCGAGAACGCAATCAACCGGGGTTCAACCGTGAAACAATTTTGTGTACCTGTTACGACTGATTATTATCATGTACTATCGCTAAGGGCAATGAGAAAAAAAGAACAATACGTGTATATGTATGTACATACACATGCCCGTGTGCGTATGTATATATATCTATATAGTATATTATTGTACTGTTACAATTGTTTTGTAACTATCGTTAAATGTCATTGGCTGCTTGTTACTGTGACGGCTTGCGATCGGCTAGCTACAATCGCTGAACCGTATGTACATATCGAGTTTTAAAAGAAGGGCGCGTGGAAAGAGCGTGTGGAACCACGGGGTGAGTCAGTTGTACCACAAAGTTAGCTACGTCGGAAATATTTTTTGTGGTTTTTTACGTTTTAAGTTTTTCTTTCGTTTCCGTAAACCGCGATGAAGAGAAACGCAGAGAGAGAGAGTGTAAAATTGAAACGCACTGAAAAAAAGTTTTTCGACACTCGGAGTAAAAATAATCTTGATCCTAGCGTTGAAATCCAAGTTTGTAGCAATAAAATATATAGCATTTTAATCAACAACATTTAAGCGAACAGTGAATTATATCGGGTGCAACGGGCTCACGTCGTACAAAACGCACCGATGGGCCCAACTGTTTTAAAAAAAAAAAAAAAAAGGCGTTCGCCTGCATATCACTTGCACGATTGTTTTGCAGATGAGATGCGCGGAAGATAGATATTACCGTAAATATATTTAACGAACGACTGAAAAAATAAAAAAAAAAAACAAAAAAAAAAAAACGTAAATGTGTCCCGAAAGAAACGAAAGGATCGGTCTTATAGATACATTACACGTGTATCGTCGTTATTGACGTAATACTACTGAGAGATTTCTTGTGTTTTTTTATTTGTTTCTCTTTGCGTTTAGTTTTACGCTTTGATTGCGTATTCTATCGATCAGGAAAGTTTTCTCGCGGTTATAAGCGGGATATATATATATATATATATATATATATATACTTCCTCTCTTTACGAGTATGTACATTAAATTATTCATTTAATATCTCCCTCTCTCCGATTATTTCGCGATGTAATCTGCAAGCACGGCGTGTGTGGTTCGCATTTCCCTATTTAAATAACTGTACCTGTATAGTGTGTCGTTTAATTAGATCTATTTTCTACGCTCTGCCAGCATCGTGTTTTTGGCGTTTTACATAATATATAAAAAAAAAAAACAATTACCGAATCGCGTCGTCCGGAAAATGTGAAAAAGAGCGCCGGAGAAATAACAGAAAAAAAAAAAAAAAAAAAACAAGAACACATTGAAGAGATCGCGATTTTAACTACTTTTCCAAACGAAAACAGAGATAAATCTTAAACTCTCTGTTTTCCATCTTCTCATCTCCCTGTCGTTCCTTTCACGCGAGCATCGCCCGGTGGATGTGTGACGTGATTTTCTTGCTTGAAAACTGTAAAGTACAGAAAATTTATAATACGACGGGAATATATAGAAATTAAGGATTCAAAGAAACGCGGAGATAGAAATCGATAAAAGAGAGTCGATCGCCACATTTTCGAGAGATATGTGTGTGAGAAAAGGCCGTGTGACTTAAGAAAGTAAGTAGACTTTATTGCGAATATATAAGAGTAGTGTAAAGTCGTGAAAATTTACAAATGGAAATTTTAAAAATAGCTAGCTTTTTATAAGGAACTACTTCATGAAGAAAGTATATATTATTAGAACAAAAAATGTTTCTCAGTCAAAACTGCTCTTTTGCTCATAATTTGCTAAATATCTTCCTACATTACCGCCGTTATAATATAATATACAGACAAAAAAAATTTTTTCTTACTATGTTTTTTGTGGTAAGTAACAAATGTATATTTAATGTACTTATGAAAAAAACGGCTTCGAGGCGACGCGCGCGCGCGCGGAATGAGATTGACTTAGAAATTGGAGAACCCGAAAGTTTATTTTCTAAAAGCGTATGTGTGTGTGTGTGTGTGTGGGTGGGTGGGTGGGTGGGTGTGTGTATGTTTGTTTTACCATATGAAAGAAATTGCTAATTAGTTTGTGCTTGTCATCTTGCATGTATATTTCCCTCAACAACGCTATCGGTAATCGACGTTGTATAAATCAAGAGAGAAAAGAGATTCGAAAACGGGGATTGATCCTTAGAACACATCCATCGGACATGTCCAGCGCATCACACGAAAGAGAGAGCCGTGAGCATCGGATTTATTAATATATATATATATATATGTATATATACATACATATATATATATATATATTCGCGGCATTCTCAAAGAATGGCATTCAACGATAAAATAAAAAATGAACTGTACATATACATGCGTTTACTATTATCTACTTACTATTACGAGACTTACTCTTAAGATCTTTGGCTAAAAATACCACTTTATAGAAATGAGATTCTGATCGTGAAAAAGAAAACAACACAAAAGAAAGCGAGAACCTCATCGCGTACACTTTTAGCGCGCCATTCTATCCTCTTCTTTAAGAGAAAAAAATAAGCATACATATACATATAAATAAATATATATATTATATTTGTTTATATATACATATACATGATACACGCGTATATAGACACATCGGTACTATTATTATTATCATTATTATGGTTAACGTTATCACGGTTCTTATCATTATTGATATCGTCTTCACTATTGTCGTCGTGCGTGGAGAGATACAAGATGAGTAATTATTATAAAGAGAAAAAAAAAACTAAATTAAAAGGAAGTCTTACTTATACATAATTATAAATACGTCATGACGATATATTCGTAACGATTAATTATTACGATAACATGTATAATGACATTATTATTATAAATAACACCTTTTTCCCATCTCTGTTGTGAATGTTTACGTTGATTTATGAGATATTTAGAATATTCTAAAAATAAAGTCTATATAATTTCCACGAAACTTTCATCATGCGTGTTATTATACTGAACACTTCCTTGCAGCACTTTTCACACTTGTGGAATGCATATGTGTATATAATTGCTTCTATTATTAAAACAATGAAAATAAGATATATCCTATTTATTTAAAAAAATTAATGTAAAGATATTTCGTGAATAATTTTTAATTAAAAACAAATCACTTAAAAAAAGAATTATATTTTATCTTTATCGGAGCGATCTCAGGTCTGTGCAGGACCAGTAACCAAGAGATCACAGGTTCGAGTCCGGGCAAGAATGTTCGGATTTTTGAGTTGCTCTCCTTCTCACGTGAGCTCACGATAGCTCACTGATATATGAGATGTCACGAGATTTTTCTATGATATTTTTATCTTTCCTAACGACAAGCCTATCACGTAAGAATAAATATCTAAGTAAAAAATGTGTACTGTGAAAATTGTAAAACTGAGTAATTTGTTAAGTTGCACACAGCTTGTTTTATTCGAAACAAAGTTAAAAAAAAAAAAAAAAAAACAACTATTATTTCCCTTTTCCATCGCAAAATATCTTAAGTTTATAAAATATTAATTAAATTAAAAGGAACTAATTAAATTATTAGTTTTTCAGAAATCCTTTTAGTTCAGCATTCATTAATTTTGAATTAAAAACTCATTGATTCCTTATTTTGTAAATCTACAAAATAAAATATATTTTAAAAAATTTTACTATAAATGGTAATGATATGATATACAACACAACAGTATAATATAGATGTAACTGTGTTTTCATATATATATATATGTATATATAAGTTATATATATATATATATATATGTGACTAAGTAAAGAAAGAAAGACGAATAATTGAAAGTATTATCTTGAGGTAATTTTCAAAATAATAATTGTGTAATTAAACATGTAATCGTGTAATTATATTTCTCGCGGTTGCTATCTGACGTAGCTATTTGAATGAAGCGTAATAGAGAGATAAATAGCAATAAATAGCGGCGATGGCGCGGCCAGTCACGTCGGACTTCATGTCGCGAGCAGCAGCGCGTTCTCGGGCCACGTTACAATTCGTTAAGTTCCAATTTCGCAGAACATCGCGAATTATCAGTGCGGTGCAGTAGGCATCGCGGCGATAAGAAATATGTTAATAGGAGACGCGAATTGGCAGGTCATCCGTCGTACATAGATCGCGAGAGAAGATAGCGTAAGACACGTCGTCTTTTTCGTCTCTCCCTGTCTTTCATTGCGGAGCACGTAATTCCCTTTTTCCGTTCGATCTGTGTAACCCTGCCGCCCTCGTAAAGAAGAAAGACCCGAAGAGATATAAACGACCACAACGAAAGAAGAAGAGAATTCAACGAAAATGTCATTCGAGGGGAAGTATAACGCGAAAAGTCCAGGTGAGCGAGAGTCGATGTACGAAGTCGTCACGCGAATTGCGCCGGTGTCTTTGTTTTGACACATGTACCGTTTGCGTTGACGTTTTTTACAAAGCTGTCACATAATAGTTTCGTCACTCACTACGTAGATATATTAGTTAATGGTTTGTCTTTTCACAATAATCGCATTGATATTAGGTAAAGATAGTATGTGTGTGTCTTTTTAGAAAAAAAATTATTTTGTTATTTCGTTTTGTTATCTTTGACAAATATTATCAACAACAAATACTATCAACACATCACATTCGACTCACTTATTAACTTGTTTATTTGTCAAAAGCGCTAATAAATAGACAGCTCATGTATATTTGCATAATGTGAAAACTGTGATGTTATTACACATCTTAGCGGTGAAAAGGTTAATGAGAGAGGCACAAGAGCTACATGAGGCTACAGAAGAATATTATGCATCTCCTCTTGATGACAATCTGTTCGAATGGCATTTTACGGTACAAGGACCACCGTCTACAGACTTTGAAGGTGGTGTTTATCATGGTAGAATCTTACTGCCACCAGAATATCCCATGAAGCCACCAAATATCATCCTATTGACAGTGAGTAAAACATATGTCATAAGCTAATATCTAAATTATATTAATATCATCACAGTAAAACATCAAATATGCATTTGATTCAGCCAAATGGACGTTTTGAAACCAATAAGAAAATATGCTTGAGTATTTCTGGTCATCATCCTGAAACTTGGCAACCGTCATGGAGTATCAGAACAGCTTTGTTGGCTCTGATAGCTTTCATGCCTACACCAGGCAGTGGCACTATTGGAGCATTAGACTACAGCACTGAAGAACGACAAAAGCTTGCTAAAAAGTACTATTTTAGATAAATAATAATAAAAAAGTGACTTTTTAATATAATCTTGTATATCTAATTAGATTGATTTTTTTAGGTCACTTAACTGGCAATGTGATATATGTGGAAAAGTTGTTGATTTATTGTCAAAAAACTCGGTTAAGAAACCCATTACTGAGGAAGAGCAAACTATGCTGGATACAATCGCCCTAAAAGTAAGTGAATATTTTTATTGATAAACTTATTTCTCTAATTTATTAGTACACTATTCTGATACTATTATAATACTAATACTATTCTGATTTTATATACAAATAAGAGAATATAATGAGTGTTTTAAATTAATAACTTACACAGCAATTCAATTATCAATGTAGTCATTTAAAAACCTCTAAAGATTAGATATATATATAAAGGCAATTGTTGTAGGCTGATGATTCACCTACATCAGATATATTATTTACGGACAGCACAGAAAGTGCGCCCGAAAGCGAGATACGGCAGCGTAATGTGGAAACAATTATGACAGAAAATGCGGACCGCCAGCAGACCGACATTATTTTGAATCGCGTAGATACAATGTCTTCTTCAAACGACTTATTTTGGAGTATTCTTATCGCTTCCTTAGTGTCCGCGATTATTCTGTTAATCTTACGACGGCTATTTCTTGTTTAACTTCTTTATGTAAAATACATGAATGTTATGTAAAAAAAAAATTAAATAACTTTTATACACGGATATCGGTTTTAAACTAAAAGAAAAATCGAATTCGTACATACTAAAAAATTGTCTAATTAATTTCTATGAAATAAAACTGAAATACATCTACAAAATGAAAGTATACATTAGTAGAAGTATCGGTATACATATCTACTTTGTTTATGTAAACTGCATTTGTATCTTGTTTAGGGCATTCTAATCTCTTTGATAAAAGTTGTTGAACGTAGTACCGCAAATACTTCGAAGCATTATTTTATCTTTTCTCTATCCAAAGAAGAATAAAATGATAGAATAATGTTTTTAAGCACGTGCAACGCTATTTTAATCACAGTCAAAATGAAAAGATTGAAATTAATAACACCTCCTATTATTGCTGTCATTAATGTACATATCTTATGAGAGTTTTTTGTTATTCACTTTGGTAATATTATATGATGTGTAACGTGACAAGAGTTTTAATTTGCCAGTAAATAACTAAAAACAATCTGTGTACAACGCGGAGGCGATTGCTTATTAATATATTGTAGTATTAAATAATAAAATCATGTGTGTCGTGATCCAAAATATTACTGCATAAGATTTTTGTTGTATATTTTACATTTTAGTATTTCAAATATAACAGTGAGGAAGAGAAACAGAGAGAGAAAGAGAAAGAGAGAGAGAGAGAGAGAAAGAAAGAGAGATGAAGTGAGAGAAAAATAACTGAATTGAATTTGATAAAAAAAACTAGAGAAATTTTAATATACATAGCGTACATAATTTGTTGTAATAAATTGTGATTATAATTCTCATGTGCTTTGCCTACATATATATACATATACATATATACATAAATATATACATATAAAAGTTAAATCATTAAATTTATTGATTTTTATTGTTACATAATAGCCTAATATACACTATTTTGTAATGGACACGTGTTCTATATACAAATATATAACTAGCTTTCATATACTTTTCATATGTGTATAGTCACTGTAACAAAATTCAATGTATGTAATATAACGTATTAGTAAGATTTTTAGGATTCTGTCTAAATTTTTTTATGTACAAAGAAATATAATAAACTATTTATTAAAGCATATATATATATATAGTATATATATATATAAACATATTATTTCTTCAACATTTATTACAATTCACATGTGGTGATTTTTCTTAATTTCACAATCGCTTTTATATTTATTAAACCACATCACTTTACATTTTGGATTGATATGATACATGGTTTTAAATGTTTATTTTCTCTAGCACCAAAATAATTAAACTTAATATTGCTAAAAAAAAAAAACAATTTGCAAATACAATAGTCTGATTCCATAAACAAGCAAATAGTTTTACCTAAAACTCAAATCAAGAAAACTGTTGCTACGCGGACATTCAATATATTGCAAAAAATTTTCTTGATTTGGTGATGTTTAACGATTCTTTTTTATTGTAAACAACGTTTTACTGATCACAGTAGTAATCGATTCCGAAATATACTCATTGCCTTGTGCGAGAATGACAAATGCTAGAGTGAGAACTAAGAGTAAGCAAGGTAGAATAATTTGTTTTAGTCAAAGCTCCGATCGTTGGAATACAAAGAATGAGAACTTTAATGACAGTCGCAATCGGTAAGTACCACTAACATGTAGGCGGCCACAACTGTACATAATATTATATAGATATATATCCCGCATCTGATTTTAATATATCCTAAAGCTATGTAATGTATATCTCTGAAACAATATAAATGTACATTGTTTCAAGAATAGTGATAAAATGTATCGAAATAACCTATATCTTTCTCAAAAGAATAGAGCATCTGTTTTAATTTACTTAATGAAGTCTTGTAATACAAAAATACAAACAATTCTGTTAGTTACAATTGAATCGTTTATCAGCTAGTGTTAGTGTTTGTCCATTCACCTGTTTCTTTCAGTGCTCTATCTGTTAATCTTTCTATCTCAGTTAAAAGCTGCTCAGTCTCCATATCGACACATATATCCGGTTCTACTGGATCCCATTCCAAACTATTTGGAGTTGAAACTCTAGACCATGGAGAAGCTGTCAAGCTAGAAGGATGACTGTTATTAACCGATGTTTGTGTGTCTACTTCTGTGTCTCTTTTTTCGTCTTCCAAAATTGCTAGAGGTAACCCTGTACAAGTGCCATTTGTTAAATGAGTGTCTGTACAAAGAATTTAAAAAATAAAAAATAATTACCTTCATGTTCCCATTCAAGATCTAGTGAGGATCCGGGGGTAGAAGAAACGTAAGTTTGTTGTTTTATTAATGTCCTTGCGTCAAGAATTTGAAGCGATGTATCCAGTCCAGAACTAAAATTATAAAATTATTTTTTCTGAATATATTTATATCATATATTATTATACTCATATACTTTATCAAAAAACTTCCAATAATCATATGCATGTCTTACCTGGTAGAAGCATTATTTCTGGAACTTAATCTGATGTATTTATTACCACTTCGTGACCATCTTCCATCTTCTAATAATTCCAAAGTCACAGGAACCCTGTGTTTTTTCTGTGAAGTATTTGTTATTATAAGTTAAAATAATTTTTGTTGAAGAAAACCAATAATAAATAACATTCCTTTAAAAAATTATATAAATCAATATCTCAGTATTATAAAACTTCTATAAATTTTCTAGATTATTTTTAGTACATATAGCATATATAATTTTTTTGAAGTATTAACACATAAATTATTTAAAAAAATATGTACAAAACACAAAATGTGTATGTACATGTAAATGTATATTTACCTTGAATCTTTTTAAAGATAGAAATGACAATAAACTATATCCGGTAAGCATAATAAATAAATGTAACACACATGTTAATATATCTTTTTCAAATTTAAATAACAATTTAAACTTAAATATCTATTCTTACGTTTTTGATCCTTTTATTTGGTCTTCATCTCTTTCTGCATCCATAAACTGAGCATAAGATCAAAAGATAGCATCAAAATTATTTATGTTCTCTAACATAGTATAATTTATTTAAAAATATTATCAATAACTGTGCACATACCTCAGCTTGTTCTTGTTCTTCTTTTTGAAAAGGCATTTTGATATGCCTCTGATAGTATCTGTAATAAGATAATACATATGAACTAAATAAAATATATAAACTAAAATATATAAAATAAATATAATTTTTTTAGATCTACACATGCAATGTGTATTATTAATAAAAATAAGATTTCTAACTGCTTCTTTCTACAATGTAAACCTATGTATTTATTTAAAACGCAGTAAACAGATAACTCTTTAGGTATATTAATGCATCTATGAAATCCATGATTAAATACATATTGTAAACAGAATAAAAACTTTCAACAAGAGATTTTCTGCCAGATCTGATAACTGATGTTTTCTATCGGATTTGATGCTATTCTAACCTGTACGGCACGGAGTCTGTGATTTTCGTTAAGCAGTGGCCGAAACAGGCCCCCATGACCTGTCAACCCACGGCGTCGTGCCGTCATCTAAATGGATGTTCGGATGCCAGTTTAATTCTATGTGAGTTTACATATGGGATGACGAGAACAAAATTCTTTTGCCAAGGTATTACCTAGTGGCCGATGCTAGCCGCCCGCCATCGCTGGCGATTTTCTTCAACAAAAACTCAGATAGGAACATCAGTTGCGTTCAGAAAACACAAACTGTTACGACCAGGAAAAAAAAACTATTGCTTTAGTTTCGCGTTTGCAGCGCCTTTGTCGAAATATTTTTTTAAGAATCATGTTAATTCAATCTGGTCAATTTAGCTCTATACCAGTTTAAATGTAATTTAAATAGGTTTGACATAAAAAGGGACAGATTTTTACAATGTTATTTATTAAAAAGTATAAATAGTACATATACAAAATAATATGATATAGTTATCGTAATTGTATTATATAATCTATAAAATAAATATATATGTGCAACCTTAATTTTTTGTAACCACATTTAAATATTATATTAACAAAGAAATAAGACTAGTCTTATTTCTTATAATTCTATATAATTCTTATATTACTAAATATATAATTAATATATAATTCATCTATAAAATTTAACATATAACATCATGGCCATATAATTTTAATATTTAATTCTTATATTATATCTTATAATTAATCATAAACTTATATCTGGAAGACACACATGATCTCTGAAACATTTCCAATTGTGTGGCAGTCTCCGGAACAAAAAACAGACTTTTCTAGTATGTAACTTTCTCCTTCACCTAAAATTTACACACAAAAAACAGCATTAAAATTTTATTTCTATAAGAATGTATAATATAGTGAAAATTTTATAAATTATCAGTTCTTCTTAGAGAAAACATCATTGTATGTCATTGTATACCAAACAAAATCATCATATAAAATATTTAACAATAATTCTCAATATCAGTTTTAATTAAGCAATTTTTCGATAGAATGAATCAATCAATAATAAATCAATATGAAGAGTATATACCTTTTAAAATATCTGTTGCCTATATATAGAAGCACTTCGAATAATCTAAAAAAGAAAAAAAAGGATTTTAATAATAAAAAGATATTTTTAATTTTAAACTAGTTTACATCCAAAAAAAAATATAAGTATTTAAGAGTTTAAGTATTTAAGAATTAAAAAGATATGTTGGAAACTTAGAGAAACGGCTCCAGACAGCATCGTGTGGATTCCGAAGGCAAATTTTCTTATTATTTTACCTCCCACAAGCATTCATGCTCAACCGAAATGCAAGGTAGAGGCATGCCAAAATGAGAGGATATTAAAATATTGGCTTTAAATATATATGTATACTTGATGTATTCCGTAACATACAATGAAAAGAAGTCGAAATAAAATGGAAAAATAACAAAAATCAATATTAAAAAAAAAATTCATTTTGCCACGTAGTCGATTAAACCTAATCTAACATAACCTAGCGCGGTTTTGATTTTTCTCACTATAGAATATTGCATATATCCAGTTTCCTTAATAGTTAATTTGCAAAAATTGTAAAACAAATATAAATACATAAAATAACAATATTGAAATCAGAAAAGAAGTAAATCATAGAAAAAGCCAAGATATATCTTATACTCATATAATTCTTACCTGTTCATCCTAACTTTTAGAGGTCGATTGTGCAATGTAGTGAAAATTACAAAAGTGAGTACTAGTTGTTAATTAATAAAGATCATAGATATTTTATTAAATTTGCTCATTTTTATAAATTTTCGTTACATTGCGTAATACAGAGGTTCTGTTCGGTTATTACTGGAAGTCTGGAAATACTGAAAATTTATAGGTTCACGTTACATATTTTATATCAAAATTTTTCAGTACTGCTAGTAATAACCGAACAGGACCAGACAATCGATGACCTGCTCTTTCCATCTAATCCAGATCCTTCCAACTCGCGCACGGCGTGCGGCATGCGGTTTCCATCTTGGCCAAGTGATGAAAGATTTGACCGGCCAGCTCGTGGTCATGGCATGGCCATATTCGGTTAGTAAGGCCCGAATTCATAGTCGTCTCTCAGATCTCAGATCTCAGATCTCAAGAGAAAGAGAAAGAGAGAGAGAAAAAGAGAGGGAAAGAGATGAGATGAGATCTGAGATCTGAGAGACGACTATGAATTCGGGCCTAAGGCCTGTTTTACAGCCGTAAGCTGTAAGTCGTAAGAAATTGACCAATCAGAAAGTTCACACCTAGCGGCGTTGAATCAAATAAGTCAATGAAAACGCGTCAAATTGCGCTCGTTTCACTTTCGCTTCGATCTATAAAGCTGTGTTCCAGAAATTGCTGCCAGCACGCTGCCAGTGCTAAAATTGTATAATATATGTGACGTAAACTATAGATCTTTAGCGCTCGCAGTGAATTTTGGAACACAGCTTAAGTACTCTACTTCCAATGGAAACGAAACACTGGGTGCGTTCAGACAACTCAACAGTTGCACAACGGTTGAGAGATAATCACTTCTGATTGGATCATACTTTTGGAACCGAAGCAGATTTTGAAGAATAGTCCTATCATAAGTGATGATCTCTCAACCGTTGAGTTGTCTGAACGCACTCACTAATTTGGGCTGCGGTCCGTTTCGTGCTTAGGCGCGCATTTATCTATAGTATACGTGACATATACTACAGATAAATGCGCGATTAAACGGACCGCAGCCTTGATCTGTGAATTGAGGGTTTCGGTGGAAACTAGACCACTATTGCACTTACCTATATATACATACCTTTCAATTGTTACCAACCAATGACGAATAACGTCAAACTTGACAGCTGTATTGTTGATGTTAACTGATATTTAAATTCAATTGTTTTCCATTATCTTATCTAAGATGAACATCGATTTACATAATTATTACTACCTTTGTCTTTCGTGTGTCAAAATTGCGGTGTTAGTCACTCATTCTGAAATAATTTCTTAACAATGCTACATCGTAACCTCGCCAACAAAATTGTCAAATTAACAAAACGACAAAAAATTTGGCAAAAATTTGCAAATAGAAACAAGTATTATTTTGAAAGTTTTTTTCACTGATGTCTAGATGGATGTGCATACGGATATAAATTTGTTACGACCGCAAATGACAGTACGAAATACAAACTCGGGTAACATATTTTACATGCCCTTAACGTCATTCGCAGGTACGTAATTGCGAAGTTCATCACGTACACAATTTATAAATTTAAAAAAGTACCACTAAATATCTAAATTTATTTATAAAACTTATCAATTTATGTTTATTTATTTTTCAGAGATGTGGTATCAGATATTTCTATGGGCATTATTCTCTTCAATATTTGTGCATACAATTGCTGGCGCAATTTGTTTTGCTACTTTGCGGCAACACAAATACGGCAAGTATGTAAGTTTTAAGCATGATTTTTGAGTGGCAGTGTTAATTCCTTGGATGCGTTCACAGATTCTTCCCACTACTAATTATAATAATGGGAGTATTGTTGCCACTGACATCAGGTGTTGTCAGTTCGGCAGCAGTTGCCTTTGTATATAGAGCATCTGGTTATCAAATGCTGCCTTTGTATGCATTATTTTGGGGTATTGGACAAACTGTGGTACCGGTGTGTGTTGGATTTACAAGAATCTTAGCAACTTTGTAATTCAATGTTACAAGAACTACATTTGTGATATTTATGTGTATATACAAAATTTGCAAACAAGTGTCTTCTAAGTTATATTCTAAGTTATATATAAATATATATGTGAAGAGCCATATATATACATATATATATATACATATATATATATATATATATATNATATATATATATATATATATATATATATGTATATATATATATATATGTAGATAAGCTCATCTTCATAGACATACAACTACATTAATATCTATCATTGGACTGATTGTAAAAAATAGAGAATATTGTAAAATATTATCAAAGAATAAATATTAGAATTTTGTAATAAAAAAAAATATATATATAAATATACTGTGTATAGTAAAAGCAATATATATCAATAAATTAATTCACTGTTGTAAATTAATAGTTTTATATTAGATCTGCGCGTATATACATATACATATTCTCTCTTTCGTATATATTTTATTAAAATACTTTACAAAATACAACATTATAACTAGAATTACATATATCCCACTGCCTGTGTAAATAAGTTTACATCATTTATACTTGAAATCTTGTTTATTCTGACTTATTAGGGTACTTAAAATTGTTAGCGACATTTTTCATATCTGCCAGGCCTTTTTCTAAGGCACTAGAAGCTTCCATTTTTGTGTCTCCGTCAGAGGCACTTAGTAAATTGAGAACCAACTCTGTTTAAAAATATATAATATATTTCTATAATGTATAATATATAATATATTTGTTTTTAGTTAAATTTTTTACTATTAAAAAAGGAAATACTTTATATTGGAGCATTTTATCAGCTATTACGTACCATGATATTTGGAGAGAATCGACATTGTATCAGGATCCAATTGTTTTTGAAGAAACGCGAGAACGGTTGTTACATGTCTACCGGACATGTGCAAAGCATTTTGCGTAATGGCGGTGAAGAGTATGTTTGTGACTAGATGAAGCGCTAATGCGGGATCTTGCGTAGCATTAAGCTCTTCAAACAAAGCCTCTTTGTGAGATTGTATTTGCGGTCGCTCTTTCTTCTTATCGTACTTTTTCAGCACTAAACAGCAAGCAGCCATTGCTTCGTCAGTAGAATTCAAAAAATTCTCTACCGAATCTCCCATCACCGTTTTGTGAATAGCAGTTAATGGTTCTTTAACATCTGCGGGAAATTCGAGTAACAATTTTTGTCTCGTTTCAATTGTGATATTTTCCGGTACTTGGAGCATATTTTGCTGGGCAGCCAATTTAAATATACTCGTGACAAAATCAAGACCCAGAGATTTCAACAGATATTTAGCTAGCGGAACTTGATCCGCTTTGTCAAAATGTCTGATACCTTTGTCGAATATTCGAATGTTCATTATTAGAATATTGAGACGTTCACCAATCTTGTTTAGATTCGTGGTTTTATTAGATTGCGCCAATTGTTCTGTTAATGATAATGCATATTTGTTTAATTTTGGTTGCAAGAGACACGCTAATTCCTCAACTAATTCTTCAATTACAGATATATTCTCGTCTTTTACAATTTCAGTTCTCACATCCTCTATTGATATTACTGTGATTTCGCCTCTTCCAACCGTTGCCTGCTTCGTCTCGTCTTCATCAGACTCGTTTTCTTGTATTTTTCCTTGAAGATATTTCTTTTTTGTGGACTTAGTTTTGGTTTCCCTGCCTTGGTTACCACCACCGGATTTGCCAACAGTTGCTTTTTTCCTACGTTCTTCTTTTCTACTCATTTTACTATCATTTATTACATCCGCGGGTTTAGATTTTAATTTATTTTCAACAACAGATTGAATCCACTTTCCATTTAACACCATTTCTTGAGCTTTTTGTTCCGCTATCTTTTCGAGGGATTTTGTTAAAGTTTGCAAAAATGCATCAGACACCGCTACTGTCTTTGCAAATACATGTACATTCATCTTTGTCTTTTTTGTGGATAATTTAAGAAGAATTTCCGCATCCTCGTCGCTGAATACAGATGGTAAAAGAGGATAAACATCAACGAAAGATCCGGTTGCAACAATTTCGTCAATATTGGCATCTACTTGATCGGTTACTATTGTCCCAACCGCTACTGATTTCAAAAAAACCATGTTTTTATTCGGAAAATGACGTTTTATGAAACTCAATGGGTCTGATATACCAAGTCTTGTAAGCGCATCGTATTCTAAAAAATAAATAGATTAGATTGCATAGATTTAATAGATAACATAAATAATTTAATTCAATTATTGAACTTTCTTCCATTTAAGTGTTATATATTTTACCTAAATATCCGTTCTGTTTGTAAAAGTTTTCAACCCATTCGTTTTGACTTTTAGAGTATATAGTAGGTATATAAATACTATTTCCACTCTGTTTTCCAGTTACAACTCCAGGTACTTGTTTTAATTCTTGCAGACTATCTAGAATTGCTGTGTATACATATGTACAATAAATTAATAAGTATAATTGAATATATAAAAAAAGAAATATATAGAGTTTTCAATTCAATTATTAAACATTATTATTATTAAATATGTTGCTGATTATGTGTTAAAACTTACAAAAAAAAATTCTTTCTGAAACACCACATTGTCCTAATATCGTAGATAATGGTGTAGGTTTTGTAATAGCAGACAAAGCACCTTTTAGTTTTGCTCTATTTCTGGCAACAAAACTTTCGGTGTAAAAGACTTTAAGATCTTGAGTATCTTGTGTTGCATGTATTATCCTTCCAAGTTCTTTCTCAATGACTGATTGCAGAAATTCAGCTGGCAAATTGTAAGTAAGTGTCAACTCAGCCACATTGATACAACCATGCTGGACAAGTTTGTCATTTATCTCTTCTGCAATTTTGTTTATGTAACTTTTATCAATGAGTTGTCCCAATATTACTTTTAACCCTTTATTGTGCTTTTCGATTTCAGATACTACTTTAGTTATATGCGACAAATTAACATTAAGAATTTGCGCCAAATCAACTAAACTAACTTTTCCACCATGCATATACAGTTCATCTTTGATTTCTTTCTCAAGATGCTGAGGAGTCACGTATTCTCTGCCATCATTAGTAAATATGATATCCAAAAGCTTGTTTTCAACCAATGTCACTATAATCTCTATACAATTTCGTTCAGAAAGTCTGTAATATATATATACATTTACTTGAATTATAAATATATTCTCAGTACCATATGTTTAAATGTATTAAAGTTGTTATTGATTAATGAAATATAAAATTATAAGCAAAATATGACTCACAAATAACAAGAAAACATATATAATTTTAATATTATTAATTCGCCAATCTGAACTAGTATTTTTAATTAGTTTAGAACATTAATTAGCTTTATTGTGACAGAACACAATTAGGTTAGATTAAACTTAGATTGGAGTACATATGTTCCATACTTTTGCAAAGTCGAGCTGAGCTGGGCCTTCTGGAAATCAGCGGCCAGTCTCTTAATTTCTTCCCAATCTACAGTGGCCATCTTTCAACGTTCTTCTACGTACAAATCTCTTTTTTATCTGAAATGTTACAATCGGAGTAAGATGACATCACTAATGACATCACTTCTCTTGATCTTGGAAAGCACCCAGTATCAGAGAGAAACCTGAGAGCGGCCAGGCCCATAAGAAAATGTGTAATCACTTTTCCACTTTGTAAGCCAGTGCACATGTCCACAGGTGGTGCACATTGGCAACTACATAGCAATGTCCACGACCGACTTGTCGGTTCGTACGCTATGTCCAAACGTCAACATGGTTCTATTCCATGCTATGTGCACGAGTCCAAGTGTCAAATCGACACCTGACCCTAGCCGCTCTCCACAGTCTTCTCTCTGCTGAAATACAAAATCATAAAACTCAAAACAAAAGTAAACACGAAAAGATATAGATAATATAATAAACACGAAAAGAAAATACCAAATAAATATATAACAAAATAAACAATATACTACACACGAAAAAAATAGATAATATAATAAACACTAAAGATAATAAACAAAGTTAAGGTCTATTATCTTTCGCAAAATAATGACGATATTCTAAAGCTTTGCAATTTCTGGCGCAATTCAAGCGTCAATTTTGACGAACACAGGGTAACCAAAACTGTAGATTTAATGGAATTTGAAACATCGAGAACAAGTGACTTTCACAAATTAACTAATACGTTAGGTACAATCATTTCTTATCGATATAACATAATGTTCAAAACTTTAATTTTACAATAACCAAACATAATAACTTTCCTATTTCTTTTTTACTTTTCAATGAAAACTTTGAGACTAACTGTTATAAAATCTTATTGTAAAAAAACATTTATATTACTTCACCTTGCACTTCCAGTGTGTGTATCTTTATTACATATATATATCACTACCTTTTAAACCACGAATTTTATTAACCTTGTATGCTCGATATTTCGAAATTTATAAAATCGACCGTTACAAAAAAAGCGAACAAACAAAACTTATCATCATGACTATGTGACTGATATGTCACGTAACATATCCGATCTATAAAACCTAAGTAAACTGCTCTTAAATTAGATACTTCTTTCACGCACACAATAAAACGAATGCGCAAATACACTTGAGCGTACGTATATGTACTACTTATGCACGCATACGAATAGTGCACGACCGACTAAAACCTACTACATCCACCACAATAGTGCATAAAATGCATGCACGTATTGCACATATGCTTCTGCTGCAACACATATACTTATACAACCTTTACACATAAATAAAACAGACGCAATTTTTTTTTTTTTTTTTTTTTTACGAGGAAAAATGCACACGCACACCCTGATCCCTTCTGAGGGATCACCATATCCCAGAAAAAAGATCAAGGTAGTGTGGGACTCGAACCCACTAAAAAACCTCGGGAATCGCACGCAAGTAGGAATCGCACGCAAATGGGAATCGCACGCAAAAGGGAATCGCACACTTAGAAAAATCGCTCGCATATGGGAATCGCACGCAAATGGGAATCGCACGCAAAAGGGAATCGCACGCTTAGAAAAATCGCTCGCATATGGGAATCGCACGCAAGTAGGAATCGCTCGCAAAAAGAAATCGCACGCAAATAAAAAACGC